TTTTTTTTTTTTTTAAAAGACGAGCCTGTCTCCCGTGAAGCGCCCTGCCTTAACTCGGGGGACGGGTTCCTCTGGACTGCGGTATCTGACCTCTTCTTCCTTCAGGGGCTGACGTGAGCCACTGGTCAGAACCATAATCATTTATCTGTGGCTCATAATCAGCACACGAGACCTCAGGTCCCACCCCGCCCAGGGCAGCCAGCCAGACACACTCAAGAGACTTGATTTTTCTCAAGCAGCTCTCAGAAGGTTCCCAGATATGTGATTAGAAGTATAATTTTTGTCTTCCTTCTGCTCTGGGATTCTGGGGGGCGGGAGTGGGGGTGGGGGGGCACTGAATCTTTTGATTCCAAGCAACTGCGAAACAAACACGCCTCGGAGGCTCTTTCTGAAGCTGGGGCTGCCGCCTTCAAGGTTCGGGCTCCGACCCTTCCCCGTCCCTTTGATGTGCAGGAGTTCGGAGAAAAGTCTGGGGGGCGGTCTGAAGTGGGGGGGGAGAAGAGCCTGGTTCCCAGCAGACACCAGTGTCCGCAGTCGCAGTGTTCTGAAGGCCTCAGAACCCTGACATTCCTGTTTCCCTCTTTCTTTTCTCAGGTGACCCAGTATTTACTGGACCAGTCCTTTGTCATGGACGAAGAAAGCCTCTACGAGTCTTCTCTGCGAAGAGAACCCAAACTCCCCACCTGAGGGGGGCCCCCGGGCCCTGCCGGCCGCTCCCACGGGACACGCGCTATGTTAATACTGTACATACTCGTTCGGTCTCTGGATTTTTTTTCTTCAGTATGTGCTTCTCCAAGAATACAGACCTGTTCCCGTTCTTAGATTCCTGTAGAACCAGACTATGACTCTCGGCACCGTTTCCGACTCCCCCTCCGGCCCCCCCAGCGCCCCACCACCCGCAGCGCCTGTTTCCTGAACAGACTGTCTCCCGGCCTGGCCTGCCCGGCCCCTCTCGCTCTCCTCAGAGGGGGGGCAGAACCCTTGCACATGTGAATCTTAGGAAACGTCCCGCTTCTGTCCTTCCCCAGCCCAGGCCCTGGGCTGAGCGGCCACCAGCACCCTCCCAGCATGTCTCC